AAGAGTCTTTCAAAACTAAGTAAATTTCATGGAAAGAACGAAATTTTGCACATTCTTATAGTGGAGGGGGGGTGGGGGTCATCATCCTCTATCCCCCCCCTCCGTTCTGGATCGGCATATGTGTATAATAACTACGACACCGTTCATAAAATCGACAGGACGTTTGGTTGTTTTTGTTCAGTTCATTTGTTAAAATGTTAAAATCGTATTCATATCTACTTACAAGTTAACTCAATTATCTCAAATTAATTTATAAATAAATAAATCAATCAATCAATCAAAGAAAAAGAATTGTTCAAGACTCTCTTACACTGTCTCTGACGTGTATATTGAAAAATAATTACGCTTGACATTTTTTCTTCGAGTAATCGAAGGTCTAGTAAATCTGGTGATTTATGAGTTACCGTATTCACGCTTTTTGAACACAACGGATGAATAACTATACATGAATATCAGCAAAAAAATTGTTTCGCCACGGATACACATTAAACAATTTTCAGATCAGCCTGTGCAGATCAAAGAAAATAAAATATGATAACCTTTACTTTAATCGTTAATTCTGAATTATGTTCTTAACAGTTTTGTTTTAATTTAATTATGATGTAAATTATACTGTATTTTTGCTATATTTATATCATATTAGTCAAATCAAATGATCCATGTGATTCACAATAATCAAATTATTCACATTATGCATCCTAAAACTGTGCAACAAAAACGTTTCAAACGAAACTGTGCTACCTAAAAAGAAAGTAAAACAAACAAATACATTCATGATTTTATTAGCATGGCTTATTTGCACTGATTTTTATCATTTTAATTTGCCTTGAAGAAGGTGAAACAAATTGAATTCTGCTTTAATGCTTTAAAGAAGTCGATGAGAGCACAAAAAAACTGTTTTGCATATTATATTTGAAACAAGCATATTTTTATATTTTACTAAAACTGTCAGCATAAAGAAATGAACAAATATAAATGCTAAAAATCTTGCTCTTTTAATCAATGTCTAATTTTTGACATTAATATAGTTCGCACAAATAGGCTGCAAGTTTCACCTTCTCGGTTAAAACGCGTATGAATTTTACAAATGTCTTTTTAGTATTAATTAGAAGCTCTGCTCATTAAATACGGTGTTTTGCTGAATATTAATTAAATGAGGCACATGTTTTCAAATAGATGAAAAATATCATTCCATTTCGAAAGACTTTATTGCATGCACCTCTTCTTAAGTTAACATACTTTTAAAATGGCCTTTTCGCACTTGGGGTTATTAAGTGTTTTTCGTTGTTGTTTTTGTAGTTGTTGTTTTTTCTTCAAAAGACACAGAAATAATATTCTCCGTTTTCTTAAAAAGGATTCCTCTATAACAATAGAAAAAAGAGGTAAAAAAGTCGGTTTACAGACAGAATGCAAGTTACAATTTTATACATAAACTTTAAATGGTTTTGTTTGAAACACTGATCGCGTGTCAATGATTTGCTATATCATATTTGCCGTAATGATAACAAAACAATGCCCTTTTCTTTAAGTCGTTATATACCTAAAATAACTGTTTTACACTACAAGCTACATCATATGTTTATTTCTTTAACCAAATACAAAAATTAACACTTTTACATAATAACGTACAATTTTTTTGTTTCAAATAGATTTAGTTTTGTATTATTCATATTTGATCGATATAGGCAAGCAAACACAAAATCTAGAGAGAAACATACAGATATTTTCATCTGCAAAACAATTTATTGTCAGCTTTTTTAAAAAATGTTTAAATGCGTCTCTTAAATGTTTTTATGCATGAAATGTATGTGTGTACACTATCTGAAATTTATAAATTTAATGGTGTTAAACTGTAAGAGCTCGAAGTAATACCCGGTAAATCACTAATTTACAGCAGCTTCAGCGCTTAAAATGCCGAGCGGTAATGCCAGCGTTTGAATAGAAATGTTTTATTGTTACATGTTCTTGTATTGTCACTTTATAGGTACTCTATTTTTTCCCAAACTTTTCCCATTCATACGCATTTAAATGCAAAATTCTCCTAAATTTATCAACCTTTATTTCCTAGCAAATATTCTCTCTATGTCTTGGGGGGAAATGCTTAACATATATTAGCAAATTTCCGACATAATAAATTGACTCTTTCTTTATTATTTTTTTTTATGATATTGCCATATTAGGACGCCAATAGATTCTTAACTTGTGCTTTCATTGTGTTATTATTGTTAGTTTTTTTAGAGGAATGAAACCGTATTTAAATACGACTAAAATGAGTTAAATACAGAAATATGATTTTTTTCTTCTGCAATGAAAATACATTATGATTGAACAGAACCTATGTAGCATTTGATCACGTGTGCTGAAGTCTATAGACCCATGCGGCTTGGCCTTGATTTATGTAAAAAAAACAGTTCATAATGTTTCTTGTAATACATGTAACTATAATAAACAATTTATTTTTGTATCTATAGGTGATTATTGGAATAAAAATATGTCTCAATTAGAGCAATAAGATAATCGAGTATCAGTGTTTTTTTAAGTAAATTAATTTAGTATTATGTTCTAAGAATGATACAAGATTCCAAAGTACAAACATACTGGACTGGACTTAATATTTTGAAAGTACTCTAGGGAATGCACCATTGAATAATAATAATAATAATAATAATGATTATATGAGCTCAATTTATTTGATCTTTTATTTATTTTGATCACTTACTGTTTCATTATGCATGTTTTACCTCGATTCAAAACAACGAAATTCAGGTACACATAATTGTTTATCATGTAATATGATAACAAACAAAATTGGTTTTGTTCAGAGATTTTGTTTGTAGAAAGGAGTAAAAATGACTTGAATATCTTATTTTCAACGCTTTTACCATTAAACTTATTATAGATATGTGGTAACATTTTGCAGACCACTGTTCTTTATCTTCTTTTATATTTACTTAAAAAGATATTTAAACACATGTTTTGAATAAGTGTTCTTAAACAAGAAGAGCAAACGTTTCAACAATTTTATATATAAGCTTTACATTTGGTGGAATCATTCGTGTATTTGTTTTTATTTAAACAACATATGATAAAGATGTGCGTTATTAAATTCCTGCGATTTTATCATTTTCTCATAGGATTGACTTATATGATCACTTTCCTTAAGCAGAAGTACCTAAAAGCAGGAACATTTTGCAAACGATAAGGAATGACCTTTGACTATGTGAGAAGTACACTTAAACATGACTACTAAGTATTTTATTTACACCATTAGGGATGACATTCGACCTTCATATTTAGAAGTACTAAAAAGCATGCGAAAATCATGTCGAAGTTGGCTTGAGGACAACTATAAAAAAATTGTGTTTTAATTATGTTGTTTGTGAGCTTTTTAACTGTTATTAGAGATGATTGAATTTAGTCAATCAAAAAAGTATAAAGAGCAATGTTCGTGCAATCGGGATATTTTTCAGGATTTGAGTAATAACAAGGATAACAATTTTGGACATAAATTCATTTTCACATGTGCAACGATTTTTTGTCGGCAAATGCTTCTCCAGTAATCATATTAAAAATGTTAAATGTGACGATTAACCTAAATGGTGAAAATAATGTGTTTTATTAGCTTTTCCTTTTAAGAAATCAACCGCTCCTGTTGCAATATTTGAACGTCGTGAGCTAAAAGGTTTAATGGAAAAAAGAAATGTAGAATAAAGACCATAATACAGATACATTTACAAGTAACATATGTGCCGCGTCATGACAAAACCAACATAGTGCGTTTGCGACCAGCATGGATCCAGACCAGCCTGCGCCTCCGCGCAGTCTGGTCAAGATCCATGCTTTTCGCTATCAGTTTCTCTGCTTGAAATAGGGTTGGTAAGCGAACAGCATGAATCCTGATCAGAGTGCGCGGATGTGCAGGCTGGTCTGGAATCCATGCTTGTCGCAAACGCACTATGTTGGTTTTGTCGTGACGCGGCTCATATAATCTTTTTGATAAAATATATTTCATATGACTTATTTTGATAATTATTTTGTGCAAATGACATGGACTAATAAGAAATGTTAAATGAGAAAAAGGGGCAGTACTTTTAAACCCGGATGATCCATATGCATTTAAACTTTGTTTTACTTTTGTTTATCTGTTGTGTTGAACATCGACTACTTTCCTGAGCATCAGTGTATTGGAAGTGTATTCACTGAGTTGGTAAGGGAGCGTAAACATGTTTTAATTTGAAGATATTAAGTTTGGTTTATAATAATTGAAAACATTATAATATTAGTTTTTTGCTCAATAGTCAACTTGATAAAAAAGTGTAAAAATAAAATAAGATAAATAAATAAACCTTGCCTGTTTCATTATTGATAATGTTGATTATTACTTTGCTGGAGGGAGAACATAAGTTGAAAAAACTACCATAACAATGAAAGTTAAAAAAAACTGTTTGATGTAAGATGCATGACTCTTCTTTTAAAATATATTTTGTAATATTGCATCATAGTTATTTCCATAATGCTGTGCGATATGTGCAAGTAGTTGATAATGTTTGTTTGTCGTACAAGTTGTGATAAATGAAATGAGCCGTGTCACGACAAAACCAACATAGTGCGTTTGCGACCAGCATAGATCCAGACCAGACTGCGCATCCGCGCAGTCTGATCAGGATCCTTGCTGTTCGCTATCAGTTTCTCTACTTGTTATAGAGTTTGTAAGCGAACAGCATGGATCCTGATCAGACTGCGCGGATGCGCAGGCTGGCCTGGATCCATGCTGGTCGCAAACCCATTATGTTGGTTTTGTCGAGACGCGTCTCTTTCATCTTCAATGTAATCAGTGATTAAAACTGTCTTTAGTGATGCAGATAATGTAGATACTTAATTGTTTTAAGAAATTGTATAATGATAACATTTTTAATAATTTAAATATCGATTTATTCAAAATACAAATTGATATCATGTGATTTACCAATGTTGTTTTTTTTCTTTTATTTCAGACGGAAAATGTAGCACTGATTGTATATTTCAAGGACAAGTGAAAAGTATTTGTAAGAATTTGGTGACGATTCATTCTTCTTTATCAAATGTAAAGGTTGTGAAATGGTTCTATATAAGTTATATTGGATATATATCAACTTTATTAAACAGGTTTTAACGTTTTATGTCTAACTGACTTGATCAACAATAATAATGGATATGTTGCAAAAGTAATATAGGAATTTACTTTGGGAACGACAAAAACTATATGTGCACCCCTGTTATTTACTCGGAGGCACTAAAAGAACAAATTTAAGACTAAATAATTCTCGATATTCTTAGTTGGTTAGTTTAACCAGTAAAAATGCCGACCCCACAAACAATGCCGGGCTCATTAGCTGAGTTTTTTCTACTTGCGGAGACGAATCCAAAAGAGTTCAATCCAATGAGTTATATTAAACCTTACACTAATGGTACGAATATGACTGATATAGACATAGAAGAAAAGATTATTGGAAGAAGTCTTGCGTTAGTAATAGCATATGGCGTTCTTGCAGCAGTGGCTTTGTTTGGAAACATTCTTGTGTGTCATGTGATCTTCAGTCGAAGGCGCATGCGTACTGTGACAAATATATTCATTGCAAATCTTGCAGTGTCGGATCTACTTCTTATAGTACTTAACGTTCCATTTAACATCGCAAAGGATTTGATGAGAGAGTGGTTATTTGGAGATGCTTTGTGTCGCATCATGAACATGTCCCTTATAATGTCGTGTTATGCTTCTACATTGACACTAACAGTTATAGCTTTAGACAGACACCGTGTATTGTTATACCCTTTACGTCCACGAATCATGAAGTCCGGAGGAATGGTGGTTGTGTCACTAATATGGCTTGTTTCAGTATGTTTAGCACTACCCTTTGCAATTTACAGCAAACCGCTAAAAATCGATTGGCTTTATACACATTTCACAAGGTGTATGCCCAATTATCCGAGTCCAAAAATTGAACAATGTTTGACGATTATTACAATAATCCTCCAATACTTTATTCCACTTACGGTGATTGGCGTCACATACGGACGAATAGTACGTCGAATATGGGAAAGAACGGACCTTGGCGCAGTAACAGCATATCAGCATGCCTGTAGATCAAAGCACAAGAAAAAAAGCATAAAAATGTTGATGATAGTAGTCATTGTTTTTGCCATCTGCTGGATGCCACTAAATCTATACCATTTGCTTACTGATGTCCATCCTGATATAGAGGCATTTAATTATGACACTACAGCTTTCTTTGTTTGCCATTGGATTGCTCTGAGTTCCACTTGTTACAATCCGTTTATATACTGTTGGCTTAACGAGGCATTCCGTGCTGAGATAAGAGCTGTTTTTAGATGTTGTTGCCCTGTTGATATCAATATATACCCCCGAGATAACAAAATGGACTCTTTAAGCCAATCAGATTCAATGTCGCTCCAAATCAAACCGAAGTCTTTGTTTACATCGAAGCGAAACAGTACAATGGTTGAGAATCTCAATACGTCATTGCATCATAATCATACACACAGCGGATGTGACTGTCGGAGTAATTTTTTGACGTCATCAACATGGCGGAACGGTAATCCCGCAACAGAAAGCGTTGACCTCTTGGAACATGAAAGAAATCAAGCTGCGTGCCCCCATTATAAACGTTACACTAAATAAACAGGTTTTATATATGTCTTATAAGGAAGTGCTTTGAGTTGTTTATAGTCAAAATATGAAATAATTTTATATCAAAGTACTGTATAAACTATTTTCTGTATGTGTATGTAAATAAATATTGTAAATTCAAAAAAGTAGAAAATAAATGTACATTAATTTTGATGATAAATTGCATATAAATGTTTGAAAATGTTATAGTTGGAATATAGTAATGCTGCATATTCCCAGGAATTATGTATATAGCTGTTTTATTGTATATATCCTTTTTGTATATAGTTTATTATGTAATGTAGATAACTTTTAAACAGAGAGACACATAACATTTTACATTTAATGTTATTCAATTTTTAATTTAAAATACTACTCGAATGGTCTTCTACTACACATGTAATATGTTTTTATCATTCATTTTCCTGATTTCATTTGTTGTTTTATCAGTAAAATATTTGATTTTATCTTACATTATTCTAATCTTACACTTTTCTTTTGTATTATTTTATTAACATAGATTTATTGAAACTTCTTTGTTGTATGTTATTTATCTTAGACTGTAATTTTGTTAGAAAAATATTCTACGAACTGTAATAATAATTGTTGTATTTTTTTCTTTGAAACATCCTTTATTATCAGAATTGATTGTAAATTAAATTGCTCATTTATAAGAAAGCAAAACATCAAGTTCAATTTTCCAGCAGTGTCTCGATCTTATTCCATAATAACAAGCAAGAAAGTACTTAAGTTAGTTGTTTTATTTCTAATTAAAAAATCTCATTTTCGTATAATATTAATTTGCTTTTCCTTTGCAAATAAACTTTTCTAATACTACTATCAAAAATCTTGCTAATAATTATGTAAACCCTAACTTATTTCTTACAATTATATTATGCTATTTGGTATATTGAATAATAACATATCATAAACATTTAGAAACTAAATATATTGATATAAATAATGCATGCATGCGAACGTGTTTGAGTACGTACGTACATATGTATGTGCATTTTTCCATAGATGGTATTGTTGTGTCGTGTATCTGCAAAAATGTTGAATATTTTATCATAATTAACTAAAAAGGAAAAAAACACTTGAATAGTATAAACGTTTTGAAAAGTATAGCCAGTGTTCCTATTATAACATTAACTTTTTCTGTGTATAAAAGTAACATTTGCTTCGTTAGCATAAATGTGTTTGCTATGAACATGTTTTAATCATTGTAATATACTCGTACATGTATGGTTACTTAGATATCATTACAAAAACCTATTTGCTTTTGCAGAAATTATCTTTTAAGATATGGTTTGCAGACAAACACATGCTCAAATTAAATTCAACTGATAAGCTTATGTATGATTTCCAAACAAGTGACTGTGAATATGTTTTGATGGTCTGAAATGTGAGTGCAGATGTTGTTGAGTTAAATAAAATAGTTTTTGACAAAAAGTATGTTATTATGAGCTTTAATCCTATAACATCACAATTTACGTTGTGTCAGATATCGCATTAAGTATAACGTAACAAATGATCTCCTTTGAGGTCCTAACAACTACAAAAATGTAATTTGAAAATCTTACATGATTCAACTTTGGTGCTTAAAATTGAAAAAAAACATTTAGAAAATAATGAAACTATTCCAAAACTTATTGAAAATTGATTCTAGGCCGATTTTTAGCCCGATTTAAGTTAAAAATGTTTAAGCACCCCTATTACTTGTTAAATCATGATGCGCAATAAAAACATTGTTCAGGAAAAACGAAGTGAGTAAATTATTTTTTTACACATTATTTTTATAGAACTGATATCAAATGGTATACATTTTTGGAAACAGTCCCATTATATCAAAACACATCTGTGGAGTCAATTAAAAGACCGATAAAATGTTATGGATCATTTTATTCAAAGAACAAAAGAATAAGAAATTGATATCAAAGACATATTAAACGTTATACATTATTAGCTTGCTCTATGAACGACATTTTCCAAATTAAGCTCTGTCCATCTTAAATTTAAAGCATTCATTTTTCATGAAAAAGCAAGTCATTATAAAAATGATCTTCTGTAAGAAACAACACAACATTTTTTTAAACACCGCACGGATATATACACTTGAATTACAAAAGAATGTTAGTGATGAAATTAATCTTAAAAAAAAACAGTACCTATTGATATAAATATAATCAAGAGCATATCCCTACATTGATCTAAAACCCCTGGCACTAAAGGGCGGCGTTCTCACGGCGTCCGAAAAAAATTCAAAACGCTGAGGTGAGCGCAGTAAGATCGCAAACATCGCCGCAGCATCGCGGTGGCATCGCATAGAACGCCGAGTGACGGCGTTTGAGCATGCTCAAAACAAACGCCGTCAGTTGGCGTTATGATAGGAGTGTTGTGGGATCGCATTAAGGACGACGTAGCAACTCAGGAGCATCTCCTACCATGCAACAGGAGCGCCGTGAGAGCGCAGAAGGATCGCCGAATGAACGCCGTTCTTAGCCACGGCGCTTGTACGGAGATTGTGCAGTGTCTCTACCGCGCTTATACTGTGTGTGTACGGTGCTTTTACGGAGCTTTATTTTTTCTAAAACGCTCTTACTGCGACTTTACGGCACTGACACGGTGACCACTGCGCACTCAATGGGATTCTACTGCATTTTTCTGAATTGCAGAATACGGTACAGTAGAATCCCTACTTAAAAATCTTGAAACAAAGACTACCTCGGAATTTAAGACAAACCCTCTATTTACACCAATTTTTAAAAGAAGGGAATGGGAATTTTCTGTTCTTTATGTCAACGGTAACATAACCTACAATTAAGACAATCCCACTGATCCACTTTTAAGATCATAAGTTTCAGTCCCAATTTATTGTTTTATTATCTAACCCCACTTTTGAGACCACTGATATTTCAGTCAATATCCTTTCAGATAACAAGTTTGTTGTTATTCACCTGCTTGAATTCTCTAAAGGATGACACTTGATGAAACAATGTGTTAAAACTGTTATGATTGGAAAATTGTATAAAGGTGAGAAAATAAACTTCAGATTGGTTAAATGTTAAGTTCTGCACATGTACTTTGTGAAGAATTATTTCTAAATTAATACATGAATTATGTACATAAAACAAGACCTATGAAAATTCAATTTATTTATTAAATATCTCAAGACTAATCTTCTAATTAGGATTAGATATTATAACATCAGTTTATAGTAATATTTGAATGTTATAATATAATTGTTTAAATATGTTTCTACATGAGAATACAAATAGAGTGGTAATGATTTATTTATGCCTTGATACTCATATCTACTATTAAGACCATCCGCTATTAAGACCACTTTAGTCAAGTCCATTTGGTGGTCTTAATAGAGGGTTTTCACTGTATATATAGAACGTGTTTGCAAGTAATTGTCCTTTAAATCAAGGATGATGAACGGAAGCAAGCTGGAATACTGCTTGATCGCATGCAGGTGCAGCAGGTACACGACTATTCAGAATGAGTAATCGCTGGTATATGAAGCATGAATTCAGCGCAGTGTGAACCGTGTGAACGCTGTGAAAGCGCAGTAGAAGTGCAGCGGAAGCACAAAGAACGCAGTAAAAGTGCAGTCCGAACGCAGACAATCGCCATTTAAAACGCCATAAGAACGCATTGTATAAGAACGCCATGGAAGCTCTATACTAACATCATGATCGCCGTGTGGACGCCATGAAGACGCCGTGAAGTCCCCATGCCATCAACATATCAGATGTTTCTTGCGATCTCGCGGCGCTTTGTTAAATTTATTATCGCCGTGCAAACGCAGTGAAAGCGCAGTCTAGTGTGACAGGGCCTTAAGTACATGAATAATTGACATATATGTACCTAGATTACCAAGTTACATTACATGTTAAAAGTCCCTTGCATTAAGACATGTTACAAATCTTTTAGGTCGTAGAAGCCCTAAATAAATTGCAATGATAGCTATAAAATTACCAAAAAAAAAAAATAATAATAACAATACCTAAAATAGCTAAACACAACAAACACATATCCATGTTTGCTTTTGCGTCTTGGAAATATGGTATCCTAAAAGATCTAAAGGATGCTGGACTAAAAGGCAGACTTCCTCTATTCATTTCTGAATTTCTAAACGATAGGCACTTTAAAGTAAGACTTGGTTCAACTTTTTTCTGAGGACCACCAACAAGAACAAGGTGTTCCTATATGTAGACGATCTTCTTATCTGCTATCGATCGTAAAGTATGGGAACAATTGAAAGGCAACTTCAACAAAATTTAGATAAAATTCAAAAGTGGGCAATAGAAAATGGTTTTAAATTTTCAAAGTCAAAAACTCAATGTGTTCATTTTTGTCGATTGCGGAAACACCATAATGACCCTGAACTTTACATGTCTGGTTCTAAAATTCCAGTAGTTGGTGAAGCTAAGTTTTTAGGAATTATATTTGATTAAAAACTTTCTTTTATACCACATATTAAACATTTGAAAACAAAATGCCTAAAAGCTTTAAATTTACTAAAGGTTTTATGAAGTACAAATTGGGGATAAAATTCTTCCACATTACTGAAATTATACAGAAGTTTAATCCGATCAAAATGAGATTATTGTCTGCAAGAAAATCATATGTTTAAATGCTAGATACCATACATCACCAGGGTTTACGTTTAGCTTTAGGTGCTTTTCGCACCACACCTAAAGTCCATATGCGGAATCTCGGGAACCATCGCTTCATCTTCGTCGGAAAAAAGCTATTACTTCAATATGCAACTAGAATGTTATCTAAAAGCAAAAATCCAGCTATAAATATTAGTTTCAAACCAAGTTATACTGAAAATATGTTAACAAACCAAAGGAAATTAAACCATTAGGCCTCCGTTTAAACAAGATTTAGATAAACTTAAAATTAATCCATACAGTATCCTTCAAAATGACGATGAGGATATTCCACATTGGACTTATAATTCCATGAAAAGAAATATTAACCTTTCAAATATAAAAAGTCATCAAATTCACCTGAACATTTCAAAGAGAAGTTTCTAGCATTTAAGGAAGAACATGAACATTTTATACATATTTATACGGACGGTTCAAAAGAAGGTTGCAAAGTAGGTGCGGCTGTGTTCGAAAATAATTTTACATCTAGAATGAGGTTACCAGATAATGCATCAATTTTTACTGCTGAAGCAAAAGCTATAAATTTAGCATTGTCATACATAGATCAACATACCCAGGATAAATTTGTGATATTTTCCGACTCGCTGTCTGTTTTAATATCCATTAAAAATAAAAAAAAATCTGACAATATCATGATAAGGAAACTTCTTTTCCGATTTAATGATATGCTTTAAACAAAATCTGTGAAATTATTATGGATTCCAAGTCATGTAGGTATACGAGGCAATGAAAAAGTAGATGCATTAAATTTAAAAAAGAAACTGACTTATTGTTACCTACTTGTGATTTTAGACCGGCTATAAATAAACTCGTATCATCTGAATGGAAAGCAAATTGGGAAAATGCCGCTTTAAATCAACTTCACTAAACCCATCTCTTGATGTGTCACCATCTCTATCTCTGTCAAACCGCCATGATCAAACAGTTCTTCTTCGATGCCGAATTGGACACACTAAAATTACCCACTTTTCTCACCTCACGAATGACAATGCCCCTATCTGTGTAGCTTGTAATGAAAATTTTACTGTCAAGCATTTTCTTCTTGAATGTCATGATTTTTCACAGGCCCGTTATAGATTTTATTGTGTAAATTCACTCAAAGAACTCTTTAATACAATTCCATCAAAAAACCTCATTGATCATTTGAAAGAGATAAACTTGTATTCTAGGATCTAATTGGCTCATCTTTATTGTCATTTACAAAGTTTTACATAACATTTTAAGCGTATTATAGCATTCGGCACGATATGGCCAGTTATGTGTTGACGTGCCGTAAAAATCCAAACAAACAAAAACCAAAGCTTTTGCGTCTCTCATAAAGGTAAAGTTGACATATTTTCTTTTGACGTTTACTTGCTCACGATAACATTGCAACAAAAATTGACCTATTTAATAGCTGTTAATTGTTTCTTTTTAATCTGCTAATATAAAAAAAACTTAAACAATAAAACATTTCACGCATTGTTCTTATGGTTTCATACATAATTGCAATTCACTCAATTTTATGATCTATATAATACTGTTGTGCAGTTACTTCAAACATGTACATACCAATACAAACGTCAAAAAGTATGTAACAAAATAGCATTGTTCATATCCATATTGGCAGTATCTGTAAAAGACGTCACACTTTGGATCTATGCTTTAAAACAGCCGCAAGCTCATTCGGCGGCAAAGCAACCGAGTCTAATATGATTTTGGATCAGACGCATGATTTACTGCGGAATGACATGATTTATTTTGCGAGTCGGCAATAAAAATAACAGT